GTAAAAAGGGCACGCCCTTAATGCTTAATCATAAACCCTGTTAGGCCTAGTACCAGTCTAGCATGACAAGATATAAGTTATAAACAGCTGCACAAACACAACTTGTGTATTTTTTTTTTTTTGAATGATTTACAATTTTTTATGTGCAGGTTATAGCAAAACAAAGCCTGTTTTTTTATACCAAAACAAAGCCTACTTAAAAGTTTCGCCGCCCGGGGTCGCTGCGTGGGGCCGTGGCGCACTCCTCCGGTTTGGTATGTCGGCTCGGATTCTAAGGGTTCGAGTCGGGGCATGTTCCGGGTTATCCAAAAAAAAAAAAAAACCTACTTAAAAGTTTTCTACAATTTTTCGTGCAACATTAGGACATGTACATATTTCCTGTAAAACAGCTTCGAATTTTAACTACTCCTATTTATTCTAATCTTTTTATCTTTCACATGTTTTCCAATTTTATACTCTATAAAAGGTATGTAAGGGACAGTGAATTTCCCAACACAAGTTTCGTGGCTTTAGAGGATTTTTGGGCCTATCTAATCTGTAATATATACAGCTTCAAATTTTTAATTATGTAACAATCAGATTTTAATATACTATGAAAATTTCTTGTAAAAAATATTTTTTTTTTGAGATTTAAGTATTATCCCAAGTTCCCATTGAGGTTTTTATAACTACACGATTAGCGTAATAGAACATCAAGGATGAGATTTTTGTTGTTAATTCATGTGAGAAAACCGTCTCTAACTATGATCATTTTCTAGATGATGTTTTATACAACACAAGTGTTAGAAAGAACATAGAATTTATTTAGAAAAAATATATAGGAAATATTTGAAAGAGCAGTATTATGAAGTCAATTTATTACTATTTTATATTTGGATAACTTCATTATTTGTAAAAAGTTAATAATTAACTTAATAAATGTTAGGAGTTTTAATATCGTATTGGTGCTTAATTGGAGTGTGGATTTAATATGGAAGGGTGTGGATTTTGTTCCTCCCTATAAATAATAACTAATAACTAATAACTAAAGTCAAGTTGTGAAATAAGGCTAGCGCTTCTATTTTCGGGCACATTCTAGATGTTTTTCATCAACAAGATTCGCTTTGGATCAAATGGGTGCAGTCTTATTTGCTTAAGGATTGTGATTTTTTGGAGCGTTGATCCCAAGCCTAATGATTCTTGGAATTTAACTAAATTACTTGAAACTTAGAGCTTGCTAAACGGTGTATTCAGATGATTATAGTTAATAGTAAGTTTATGGTCCTGTTTAATGACCCAATTCAACACTTAAATTTAATAAATTTGTACCTTAATATCTCCAACATGTTTGATAACAAAAAATAGAACGTTTTTAATTAATTGAGTGACTTTGAATTATTTAGGCCAAAACTTACTTAAAACAATAAGTGATACGTTGGTCACTTATCATTTAATGCAGAATACTCTCAAATATTAAGATTTTAATGTTTAACAATTCAATAACTTAACAGATTCAATTTTCAGCTTTATCTCTTTGTGGCATGACTGGTGGCAGCATCAAGGACCACTTTGCTCCTCTTGCATTCTATATTTGTTTAGCAGCAAGTCAGCAGGACTAAACCTAAAGTTGATAGTATCATTGAGAATGATGGCCGGAAAATGGACTTGTTGCAGGAAATTATAAGAAGTGAGGCCTTGCAGCTGATACGGGCTGCTGCTCCATTCTTCAGAAACTAACTAACGAGCCCTTTTCAGTTGAGTTCTGTCTAGTTTAGTGAGGTTCCTGTAACTTTTACAATATTTCATGTAAATTCATACAATTCTGGTGATAATCATGAATTTTACTCCAATTGAGTTGTATGAACCGACAAATTTCATGATTATACTCAATATTGTAAGAATTAAGACCAGGGGTATTTCATGTCTGGATCTACATGGATCCTCCTGATTCTGTTTTTGGGTACCAGGCACGGTTCAAAGATTCGGTCGAACCGTCACGGGAACAGAGCTCTCCGATGCGATACCAGTACGAGATAACTCTGAAATAATGAACTATCGAAAACTCGATCGAGACGTCTCCGAGACAGATAGAAATAGCCGAATCGCTCTGAGTCATCTTGAATTAACTCGAATTTTTATTTTTTTTGCTAATTTTTTTAATATTATTTATAATTTTTAGAATATTAAATGTTTCATAATTTGCATCTCGTCAAGACTGCGACCGATATATTGAAATCGATGTGAAACGGTCCAGACCACGACTGCGACTTTGAACTATGGTACGAGGTAAGCAAGGAGTGTATTTCACCAAATCCGCTTCAGCTCAACCACTGTGTTGAGACATGCTTTCATACTATTGCTTGTAGGACAGTTTAGCTACTAAAGATAGGCTTTTGTGATGGGAAATGGATGTAGAACCACTGTTTCAGTTCTGTTATTTACCTCCTGAACCTTTATTGGTCTCACTTTTTTTTCTACTGTCCATACTATTGCTTGTCCTCTCCAATGTTTTAAAAACCGGACCGGTTCAATCTTGGTTCAATGAATTTTAAAAAAAATAATTTATATAAATATATATATGCACAAAATATGACATGTAATGGACTAATTTAATACTTTACATGATGAAAAGTTTACTATTTTTGAATAACTTGGATTTTTAAAAATAAATTATTTATTTTTGAATTATAAGTTAAAACAAATAAATTTCATCTCAATTTCAATTATATCTACCAAAAAATCTTAAATCCAACCCAAAAATATCAAAATATTTTGAAATTATACAAAATTCACGTCTATGAGAATTTAGACATTGTGAACTTAAATTTTAATTTACGTTTTGGGATTTAGAGATTGTAATTTAAAAAAGAAAGTTTGGAGTTCGAAAGAAGTCAAGAGAATCGAAAATAGAAATACAAACTTGATAAGAAACAAAAAATGAGATAAAAGTAAGTGATTGTGGCATTAAATAATTTGGGTTAAAAATAATAATTCTTTTTTATCTTTTTTAATTTAATGGACAAAAATAAAATTAAAAGATGTAAGAAAACATCAATAAATTAAAAATAAAGATGTTTGATTAAAAAGGAAGTGACAAAAGAAAAGAGAAAAAGAGAGAGAGAATTGAAGATTAAAAAGAAAGAGTCATGAGAGAATGAGATTTTGTAAGAAAAATGAAAAAAAAATATGAGTGTTTGTTTTATATAAATAAGTTATAAAAAAATTAATAAGATGTGATAGTGCAACGGTTACTATATTGGCCTTCTATTACAAAGGTCATGAGTTCGAATCTTGAAAGTTATATTTTGCAAAACTTAAAAAAAAAATAAAATGAGGAAAACTCGAAAATCGAAAAAAAACCGGTTCAATCCGGTTTCGACGGTTTCACGGTTGGATCGATTTTTGACCGATTTTCTAGCATAGTCAACCCTAACATAGAACCGGACCGGTGCCATGGCCGGTTCGTGGTTCAACCGGTCGAACCGGCCGGTCCGGTCCAGTTTTCAAAAACATTGGTCCTCTCTTGCCTTGCCATCGCAAGGACACTGAACCACACAAATCCTAACTTAAAATGGACCTTCATTGAAACACTGGTACATCTCAGTCTCAATAATTTCACTGGAACATAGATGGCGTGTTATGCAGTAATTACATTTGCGAAAGCAGCAGCTTCAAGCTTGATGAAATCAACTGCAAGAACATGTTTTAAATGATGATTAAATGAAGAAACTAATAAATTAAACAGTCTCAGACATGAGGTTCCTTGGTACAAACAAATGATTTGCACTACTCGGGAAGGTTAAGCAAGACCAGATAGATGCATAACTTACCTATTCTAAGGTCATTCATCAATCAGGAGCGAACAAGAACAAAAACAAATGCTAGAAAGCATCAATCAATCATATTTGCCAGAATGCAGTCTAAAACTATGGCTCCCAGTGATAGTTGGATATGTATGGTCGCATTTTTTATTTTTACTAGCAACTGCATTCCTTCTCTCCTTGCCTTTACTAGTAATTCACAGCGAATTCCAACGATTCAAAGGGTCCTGGTTGCCCTGGTTTCAGATTTTTCAGGCGTCTTGTTGATACATATAAATTTGCCACACCCCATTATTGTGTCCAAAAGTTACCCTAAAAATGTGTGGGGCAATGGTAGATGAACTCTAGGGCAGCTTTTGGTTGGCCCAGAAGTTGAGCAAAATGTTTCTACAGAAAACAACAAGGACGAGGGGTGATGGTGGGAAAAACTAGGAAAGGGTTGTCAAATAAGCCAAAGGGGGCTCGGTGTGTTGGGTAGTGACGGTAAAAGATCAGTGAAGAGTTTGATCGTTGATCCCTACCAATGGTTGGGTCATAATCTCAATCATATTTGCATTAATTGCCACTACATATGAGCCTTCACTGGTGCACTTTGTCTTCAACATGATGAAGTTCAAATTAGGCCTACAGTGCTTACTTCTCAATTTTGCCGAAGTACTCATCATCTTGTCGGTTTAAGAAATGCTGCATTGGTGGTGCCCTCAATATGCTTATCACAAGGGCTAGCCCAACAGGCCTGTGGGATTTGGGGAGCCTCAAGCAGCTTTCCCCGACGCCATAGTTTTTCAAGATTCCAAGCTGAAGTTGTAAGACTTCGACATCAGGCCCCAGTCTATCTGCAATCCCAACTGGCTATTCAAGTTTACAGCACATACAGGACCCAGCACATCTCATTTGGTGATTTCTTCAGTGGATTTCCACTCATCTCAACATAAGTTGATACGAAGAAAATATAGGCCATCCAATTGTGTTGATAGGACATTCATCTTCAAAAATCTACACTCTTAAAATGTACGAGGATTGCCTTTCAATGAAGGAAAAGGAGAACATGGCTGCTGTAGCTATGAGATCGTATTTTGCTATTTTTTAGTTTGAATTGCCACTGAGCATCTTGTACGCCTCTGCACAGTAAATGCTATAGCAGAGAAAAGATGCAAGGAAATTAACTGGAAAATGCGCATATCCTACAACTAGTTCAGCTTAAGGTAGGGAATTGAAATTGTCAAACTCTTCCAGACCAGTTGCTTGGTAGAGGACTAGCTGTAAAAGTTACCCGATGAGAAAAGAAAATCAACCTTGGGCTTAATGACATGGTGAAATGCAGTTACAGCTAAGCTTCAGATAGCTTTGCAGTTTCTATACAAATCAGCAGCTGCATGACAAGCAGGGAATGTAAAGAAAAATAGGTTCTATCACAAGCGGAATACTTTCGCCAGTGACAATGAGGAAAGGCGTCCACAACTAAGGTATTCATTATGTAGCAATCATCAAGTTCATTAGAAGGTCTGTCACCTATTCGATGATCTTGTATCCGTTTCCTGAAATACAGACTTTGTGTGATCAGTAAAATAAGATCAATGGGTATTTGCAAAGGATCAGATTGCCGTACATCAGAACAAAGATCCAATCTCAACCATTAGAACATCTGATGCATACCTACCAGTCTTAACCGTGATGTGTTTTTAGATGTATGGCCACAAATATGAAGAAATCAAAACAACAATGAAATAAGAAGTGAAGTTTGAAACAGTAATTTCATTAGTCAGTCTTATGCAGAGTGTCACCGAGGGCATGCAAATGAAACATGAAATTTCTGACACAATAATTTCAATTTCCAAATTCTGGGAGGTAAACCTAAGTGAAAAGCTTACTTGAACTAAATATAGAGCCTTCAAAAGATGTAGTCAGTATCTTATGTTTTCGTTCATTATATAGTCATTGCTAGGTAATCACTTTCAACCACCGCAGATGCCCACAACACTAAGTGACGTATTTGGAATACATCTTTAGTCCTAATTCCTCTCTCTCAATGAGAATCCATGTTTCCTTGCATCAAATGTCACCAAAATTAAAGAAGATGGAAGCGAATGCACACCCTGGTATGGCAAAATGTCCAAGAAGCAGGCAAATTTTTGTATATAAAGAGAGTTATCTTTCATTCATTTTGGCCCACAACGAACAGTCCTCAATCAAACTAGTATAATCATTTTTTCCGTTTTCATCAATGTGCAGAAATAACTGTCACAAGTATTGCTCTGTTCTATCATGTTCTCTGTAAACACTGAAGACTGGTTACATGCTTAGCACCATTAAGGAGCCGGTAATACCATCACTAAAGCTCCGCTCTTATAATAAAACAGGATTCTTCTGAATTTATGGCTGCCAAGCTACACTCATTGCACCAAAAAAAAAAAGGTCTCCAAGCCACTGATTACCACCATTAAGGCAAGGTAAAAAGAAATTGGTGTTAGAATTGATGATCCAATAGTACAGAAAGTCACATTTCTCCAATATGCCACTGATTTACCAAGACAAACAATTTTGATGTTTTATTATGCTTGTTTTCTAGGATTGAACAAATGAGGATTCAAGTAAGATTTGAAAACTTGACTAACTTGAATTGAAATGATTGATGTCATATCTGGATAGTTAACATGAACAAAATTGAGTATCTCCATCTCACACTCCTCTCTCACTGTCTCTCTCTCTCTCTAAACCATGGCTGAATATATCCGAGCTGTATCATATGGACATCGATAGTACTCAGAATCTCTATTTTAAGTAATCAAAATCGTTTTAGTCACTCTATTCTCTCAAAATAATATCCAAACACCAATAAAATTACACAATAAGCACGGTTCAAAAGGATCAAATCGTTAAATCAAGCATTTGAAATAACTGTAAACTCGTCTTACAGTAAAGAAAGGCCTTATCTTTTTCATGCAAATGAACATACAGAAGACTAAAGTTTACATTTTTAACAAAAATGAACAAAAATATACTTGACATTGTGCTATGTTCATAAAAATTTACATCTACAGAGAATTGAAAAGCTAGAGCAATTACTACAACTGCCTTTCCTCTACTAACTGCAACCTCATGTCAATCAGCCTCGCATTGAACTCCCCATCACTAACCTTCAACATCCTCGATAACGGCATTGACAATCGGTGTTGCATCAACATCCGGTGTCTTTTCTTTATCTTCCCCTCCAAATTAAACGAAAAATACTGCGGGAATCTCTTCAGCTCCTCCAAATCCCCGTTCATTTCCTCCAAGAAATATTCCAATTTCGGCCTAAAATTATTCTCTATGCTAAATGTCAACAGCACAGGTGACCTGATGACCATCTTGGCCACCTCATTATACTCAAATCCCAAACCCATCAAGAAATCAATTTTGGGGGTTAAGGTATGATCTACATTGGATACCAATAAAACAGTGGTTCGGCAAGTGATCCTATTGGCACCAACAAAACCCAATTTCATCAGGAATTCAAAAGCGGGTTTTAACTGATTCTCAACACCACTAACTAACAATCTGGGGCATCTGATTATACACTTGCGGATATCAGAAAAAGGGATTTCTACATTGTTCAACAAGAACTCAAAGACGGGGTAAATTTGATTGCTGGGGTCAGCTGTGAGGAGCTGGGGGAACATGTCAAGAATGCGGCCGAGGGCAGAGCGTTCTATACCCATGGAAGAAAGGCAATGCTCGATGGATTGTAAAGAGGAGAGAAGGGCAGAACGAAGATCTGGGTTTTTCTGGAGGGCTTTTGTGGGGTTGATTTTGAGGGATTGTAGGTAGAGGATTTTGTCCCGGAATTTTAATCCAGAGTCACCTGCTGTGATGATGGTGGGGCTGTGGTGGGAGTTGAGGACATTCTGGGAAATGAGGGGTTTGGAAGTGGAAGTGGGGCTTAAGCAGGTGGTGGAGGAGGAAGAGTAGCGAGGAGATAGGGGTTGTGGAAGAAGTAGCGGCAATCGGAGTATCATCACTGAACTGAACTGAACTTGCCAGTGAGAGGATAGGCGAGTAAAACGAAACGACATAGCAAATGCCAGCCTTAAAATCTGCCAAGGTAGAAGGGATGGTAAGTTGATTAATTCTTCAATTCTTGAGTTTTTAAACTTGCATCTCCATAAAAATAAACATACTTTAAAGTGATTCTACTAAATTTATTCAGCGAGTAGAATTTTGGAATTTCAGTAGTTAAATATCCCAGGAAGAACACTTCTTATCTGACTATCCTTTGCTAGATTTTTACATTATAACCAAGGTCACTGGAAATTCAATGCTACCATGTACACAGATGTTTTTACACACATTTTTCCTCAAGATAGAACCTTCAACAAAATCCCCCCCACTCTTTCTCTTCAGGTCTCAATGTTTGTTTGTCCTTTTTTCTAAATAAAAAGCCTTTTCACAAATTATGTTCCTAATCCATCCAATTTCCTCTTCAATAAATACACAGCCCCGAATCAAATTTACAATAACAATTTACATTAAAAAGCCAAAAGAAAGGACAGATGATAACAACAATGAGACGCAACCGAAAATTAATCCTCTAAATATTAAACCGTATACTTATGAACACTATACTTTCGGGGAAGAAAAAGGTAAAACATGCTAAAGAGAAAACGTTACCTAAACTAGGGTGCTATTAGCGGAAGGAACCTTAGGCTTAGACGCAAAGAGCAAGTGTCTTGGGAACCCCCTCCTCCATTTTCCTTCATGCCATGCTCAGAAGCCTCGTATGGGAAATTGGAATCCTGGACCAGCAGGAGCAGGAGGAATCGTTCGAAATCATCTTGATGCGATGGGAATCGATAAGTGGTTTTAGTAGAAGCTTGGGCTGGGCTACGGATAATCTTGCTGAATATGGATATAGATGGGCTTCAGCTGGCTAAACCCTTAATGGGTGCAAAAGTGATAGATGGCATGCTTTGCGATGGTTTATGTTAAACTCACACTCACTCTCCCATTTTAAATGATTGTAATACAATCATGCACGCTTTACTAACAACTATATCATGCAGGGTTTACTGGCAACTAGTGGGCTGCTTGGAAGGCTAGTTTTTTTTTTTTTATTTTGGCATAAAATTTTACTCTAATTTACTATAGAATTTGTAAGAAAAACTTTTTGTGCAGTTTTAGGTAAGGGTGCAAATGAGTCGAGTTGAGTCGAGTTTTAATCTAATCGAGTTGAGTCTCAACTTAATTTCATGAAGTTTGAACTTGAGCTCGAGTTCGACGAACTCTCAATGTAAATCTCGAATTTGAACTCGACTCAAATTCAAGTTGAGCTCGACTGGATGTCGAGTTTAGAAAAATAAAAAATAAAAAAAATAATTTTTTTAATTTAACGAATTCTGTTAGTTAACAATTTAGTTCAAAACATGAGGTGTCGTTTTGTATGTTTTGAAACCACGGAGGGCTTTTCTGTGTATTACATATACCACGGGGTTTTTTTTGTTTTTAACCCAAAAAGTAATCCGTGAATAATGGGTCCCAACAAAATCAATAAAAATATATGAGTTAAATTAGTTAAGAGTAATATTGATAGTTAAATAAAAATTGTTGTGATAAAAAGCGCTATGGCAATATCGCTTTCCATTATTACTTGTCAAGGTAGCACAGCCAGTGCCCGCCTTGAAGAGTTTAAGGTTAGCAAAATTTGATGGAATGTTTGTCAGTAGAGTGTCATGTGCGAAAGTATACGTAAAGTATGTATATTACTGAAATGAAGAGAAATTGGATTATCAGTATTTAAATTTGAACAAATGAACTTTGCCATTTTTATGTCAATTTTCTTTTGAGTCATTAATACATTAATATTTAGTTAAAATATGAGTCATTAATGCTAACTGAAATTACCACCAAGTATAGCATGCAAATTTGATGAGAAAAATATATATGTCTTTATTACATTTCATTAAGATGCTTTTTTTTCATCTTTTAATGATAGCTTTCAAATATACATTTTTTTGTCATTGTCACTGGTTTTATAATTGTCTACATTTTTCATTTAACAAATTTAATTCAGTGTACAAATTAATAATATACTTATATACTTTTTTGTTTTAAAATTATATGTATAATTTGTTCAGCAAATATACGCAGAGAAATTGAAAAACAATAGGATTAATAATGGTTAGCATTTTTGCAGAAGTTTTTTGTGTTTGATAGAGGGACATCTATATATGAATTGGATTTATAGCTTATCAGCAAATTTGCTTTTCAAGGCAAAAGAGATTAAATTGAAGTACATTAACATAAAGGATAGACAAATACAAGATAACAAAATTAAAACATACATAGGTAGCAAGTCAAAGCAGCTATGTCGAAGTACATTAACACAAACAATAAATAGATACAAGATAATTAAATTAAGACACAAGTAGTTCAGTTATGAAGCACATAAGCATTATATTGTTGGAAACTAATTCTATGCATAATCATTGTGAATGTTCATTTAAGTCTGCTGGCCAGTTGTTCAACTTCATAGCTTGTGACAATGGTAAAAGCTGTTCCTTTGATTGCCTTTTCTCTTGGAGTTGCTTTTTTAACAAAGCACAGGAGTCTCTTTCCTTGGAATATATTAAGTGGCAATGTTAGTTCAATTGTATAACTTTAAATGACAATAAAAACATGACTAAACATAAAGTCAAATGTTACTAAATATTTGAACATGAACAAATCAAAATAAAATTGACACAGAAATATTTACATTGCATTAAGCAAAAATAATAATCTTGTTCTTTATAATAGGATAGAATAAGTTTTAAATAATCTTTTGCTTTACATTAACTTTAAATGATAACTTATTTTGACAAATATAAATTTAAATGATATGGTTGAAAACTCGAATAGAAATAATTAACACTTTGCGTGAATTTGTCAAATATAAGTTGAAATGTTAACGTAACTAGAAATAAATATAAATTCTAATTGAATTATATCTGTTCAAAATGTAGAGATTGAAAAGTCTACTAAAAATAATTTAATCTTATAAAGAAATGGTAAATGCAATCTAATTTGGGTCATTGAGCACATTTAAAGCAATGCCAAGTCCATAAAACAAGCAAAAGAGAAAGCTCAAAATTCACGCAAAGTGCCACGTGTCAGCAAAAGAGACTGCTACAGTAACTATGGCCTTTTGTTTATCTTATAGTAGTAAGATTATAGTAAGATGAGATAAGATATGGCTGGCTTATGCGGCAACCTAATCCATTAAATATTCCATTTTGATTTCCCTTAATTTTCTAACCTGCTTTCAACTTAGCGTGCATCGCACAACTGAAAAAATCTGTTTGACAAAGCAGCAACTGCCAGCAGGCCAATGGAACAAGGAGAAAAGCCAGGAGGCTGAGAGATTTCATTAGAATATGAAGTCCACTTGAAGTAGAATCTTGCATAAATTATTGAATCTACTAGGCTTGCCGCAGCTTTCACTGTCAACGGTTGGGTCGACATGTTACTAAAATCTTCTTGGCTCTATTTTATAAGTAGCATTATTGTTATCATTTGCAACTAGCAAGCTGTACATTGCACCAAGCTTTAATTAATTTCATAATCAATCTTTGACCTTCAACTTCTAATGGCCACCACCCCATTAGAATATGGGTGGGCACTTCCAAGTATTTCACCATTGGTGGACTGGTTGTGTGAGATGAAAAGTAACAGAAGGGAAAAAGGAAAATCATCAAGGAGAAGAGAGATAGAGAAATGTAATGCAATTTAGTTCATCTGTCTCTTTTTTTTTTTTTTTTATTGAGTTTGTCTAACAAGTGCACTCGTTAATACATCTATAGTTCACTTGACCTATCATGTATATATACATGCTCACAATTATTATTCTCCCTTGTGTTTATATATTTTCCCTATTTAATCTTACCTACCCTCTGTTGTATTTATTTATCTTTCCTAATTAATCTTACATTTTCAAAAGTATGACAGTTGAAATATAGTTTGGGTAGCCGCTAGACAGACCCTTTTTTTTTCAACTGAGAGTCAATAGAATGACATTTATATAATTGATATATAGCCTGTAATAGACAAGTTAGACTACAATTCAGGCAGTCACTGAAGTTTTCTGGTCATTTACTAAATTAAACATCTTAAAGTAATTAAATAATTGTTGATAGCTATCAAATTTTTTTCAGTTTTTAAAAATTTTCTGAGTTTTTGAGACTTTTTTTTTATGAGACTTAAGAGCATAGAATCCAAAATCATGGGTAGATTAGTAAAATTTGAGGTCTTAATCAAGATTATAGAATTAAAATCTCAACTGTTTCAAAAGTACATTCATATACACATGTAAATATGCGCGCACACGTAACTATATGATATACGATAACTTTTTTTTTAAATACACTGTCAATGCAAAGACTTTTTTATCAAGCAAATTTAGATCATATCACATAACATGAATTCAAATTTGAAATTTAAATCATGCATATGTAGCATACATCGAAAGTTACTAGTGTAAAAAAAAATCACTGCACTATTATTCATATTGTGCCTGTATGTATTGTCTATTATGTTTATTGCAGGAGCTTTGATTAAGTTTTGAACATTTTACAAAAAAGTTTGTAGTTAGTTAAATTTGTGCTGATAGGGAATCTAAATAGATCGAGTTTAGGCATCAACTTTGGAAAATAGTGATCATATTAGTCTAGTTAGTTATAATATGTTGAGAGTGAATCTCTCACTTTTAGGGGTGGCAATGGGGCGGTGTTGGGGCGGGGATCCTTCCCCTACCCCCGCCTCGTTGTCAAATAACTCCCCCCGTCCCCCGCCCCTTGCCCCCCAGCCCCCGCCCCGTTTCCCCCGCGGTCCCTCGCGGAGGAAGAAATCAACTTATCATAAATATTCATTTACAATAATACAATTGTAAACAATATTAAATAAGATTAAAAAGCTGTCAATATGGAAATAAAGCATAACAAGTCAAGTTACATTCAGTGCGGAGGAAGAGAACCGATCGAAATAAAAAAGGTTAGGAGCAAAACAAGTTGGAATTAGATAACTTAGTCTTGGGGGGTGTTGGAAACAAATCAACAATAGTCTAAGAAATTTCTTCAGTTATTGCGGCGGCCGTTGATACTGACTAGCGTTGTACTTGTAAGTAAGAGTGCAATTTTGGGGAATTTAGGATTGTATTATATATATATATATATATAGGCGGAAGAGGGGCGGGTGTATCTTTAAGGCGGGGGGAAATATTTTGCCCCCGCCCCATTTCTACCCCCGTGGTGCGGGTGCCCGCGGGCACCCTCCCCCATTTGCCATCCTTACTCATATTAGTCGACATCTTTCTATATATAAATTATAAAGCATGACATTTGCCTTTGATGTTAAAATTTTTTATAATTATTTATTATTTCAGTTTTATCCCTAAATATGTAAGAATTTGTATATAACCACCACAAACTAATAATACTTATTCAATTTTAACAACTTTCGTTAACTTTTTTTATTTTAACTCCCAATAACTTCCTTTCAAAAAAATTCCAATAAATTCCTTTTTCATTGGACAGATCAAACTTCTAATAACTTCTGCTTTGCTATTTAAAAAATAAATCCCCACCCATTTATTGAGCAAAAATTTTTTTCAGTTTATACACTCACAGGGTGTGCCTCTCAATACTAGCAAAAATAATAAGCGATTAGCTCCATCTAAAGTTTTAGTGATTTCCAAAAAAGTATTACTGTGTTAGCATGGTATTTGTTGCGTAAGAATAAATGTGGTAGAAAGAAAATTAGAAGTGTGATTTAAAATTTTTTAAAGATAATTTTGAAAGAGAAAAAACCATAAACATTTTTTTTTTGATAAAAAGTGAATTTCATTAATAAAATTGCTGAAAACCACCTAGCAC